GTTCTCTTTCTTTCTTTCTTCTTCTTTCTTCTTTCTTTCTTTCTTTCTTTTCTTTCTTTTTCTTTCTTCGGTGCATACACATTCAGGATTATTATGTCTTTTTTGTGGATTGACACTTTCATCACTATATAATGTCCCTCTCTGTCTCTGGTAATTTCTTTGCTCTGAGTTGATTTATCCAATATTAGAATAGCCATTTCTACTTTCCTTAATGTTAGCACTATATATAGATAGAACAATAGATATTTCCATTTATTTCTTTCAATGCATTTTAAGTAAATATCTTGTAGGCAATAAATAGTTGGGTATTGCTTTTAATTCACTCTGTTAACCTTTGTCCTTTAATTGATGTAATTAGAACACACATTTAGTGTAATTATTAATAGGTTAAGGTGTAAGTCTGCCATTTTATTTTTTGTTTTGTTTGTTTTTCCTGTCTGTTTTCCTTCCCCTACCTTCCTGTGAACATTACTTGAATATTTTTTAAAATTGTATTTTGATTCATCTATAGTATTTTTTTAGGGTATCTCTTTGTATTCCATTTTAGTGGTTACTTTAGGTATTGCATTATATTTACAGAATGTATCACAGTCAACTGGTGTTGGCCCTTTACCAGTTCAAGTGAATTATGGAAAACTTACCTTTCCTTTACCTTTCTCTGTTTATAATATAATTGTCTCAAATATTTCCTTCACATACATTTAGACCATGTCAGGCAATGTTACAATTTTTACATCAACTGTCAAATATAATTTGGAAAACTTAAAAGGAGAAGTAAATTCGGCTGGGCAGGTGCAGGCGTAAATCCAGCACTCTGGAGGCAGGTGGAAGGATTGCTTGAGCTCAGGGTTGAAACCAGCCGAGCAAGAGAGAGACCCTGTCTCCACTAAAAATAGAAAAATTAGCGGGCATGGAGGCACATGCCTATAGTCCCAGCTACCTGGGAGGCTGAGGCAGGAGGATTGCTTGAGCCCAGGAGTTTGAGGTTGCTGTGAACTAGGCTGATGCTCTGGCACTCTAGCCCAGGTGACAGAGTGAGACTGTCTCAAAAAAAAAAGAGAGAGAGAGAAGTAGTATCTATTTTATTTATCTATCTTTTTGCTTATGGAAAGGCTCCAGAACTGGAAGCATTTGGTACCTCTGAAGGCAGGAGTTTGGCACAGGAACAGGCTCCCAAGAAGAAACACTGATTGAAAGTTAAGTTTGTCCCATTGGTAATCAGACACCCAGACTTCCACCCCACCTTGTAGTACTACCTGCCATTGTTTCTCATATTATGGGTACTTCAGGGACAACAGACATAGCTGAAGGAAGGGTGAGACAAGAAAGGAAAACAGGGGTATTAAATAAAAATCTGCATACTAATCTCTCTTAGAAGAGAGAGAGAGATGCCAAATATATGAAGCAAAAGCTGATAGAACTGAAAGTAGAAATTCACAATTATAGTTGGGGACTTCCATGCCACCCCACCTTACCAATTATTATAATTAGACAGATCATTAAAGATATAGAAGAACTCAACAACACTATCAACCAACAGGATCTAATCAAACTTCATATAATACTTCATCCAACAACAGCAGAATACATTTTTTTTTTCAGGTGCTCACAGAACATACAAAATATATACCACGGTAAACCACATCTTGGACAGTAAAACAAATTTTAACAAATTTTAAAGAATTGAAATCCTATAGCATGTTTTCTCTGACCACAGTCCTATCAAACTCTTAACAAATAAAAGAAAGATAACAAGAACATCTCCAAATACTCAGAAACTAAAGCTACACTTATCATCCATGGGTCAAAGGAAAAGTCTTAGAAGAAATTTTAAAAAATACATTAAACTGAATAGAAACCAACATACAACATATCAAAACTTTTGAGACATAGCCAAAGCAATGCTGAAAGGAAAATCTATAGCACTAAATATTTATATTAGAATATTTTTAAAAAGAAAATTTCGAATCTAAGCTTGCACCTAAATAAACTAGAAAAAGAATAGCAAAATAAACTCAAAGCAAACAGAAGGAAAGAAATAATAAAATTAAGAGCAGAAAACCATAATGTTGAAACAGAAAACAATAGAGAAAATCAAATCTTTAAAGAAGAGCTGGTTCCATGAAAAGTTTAGTAATATTTGTAAACCTCTACCAAGACTGACAGAGGGAAAAAGAGAGAATAGAAATTGTTCATATCAGAAATGGAACAAGAAATATCACTACAGATGCCAAAAGGACAATAAGAGAACACTATTAACAATATCACATACATAAATGTGGTAACTTACATAAAAATGGACAGATTCCTCAAAAAACACAAACTGTCACAACTCACCCAATGTGAAGTAAATAACTTGAATAGCCCTATGGCTATAAAAAAAATTAA